AAAAATTGTGTTTATGATATTACTAAGTTTAAAAAGTTTATTTTGTCATTAAAAATTTTAATTGCTATGTAGAGAGTAAAATATTTTTTACATTTTTAATTGTATAACGTCTCATTTTTTTATCTTCTTAAGATAAAGGATTCATTTTTGATTGTTTTAAAATTTGATAAAAAGGAAAATATCTTCACAAATGCTAGCGTTAAACCCTTTGACACGGGCATACATTTCATCATTTAACTTGAAATTGAAGAAAAAAATTGTCGAATAACCGGAAGAGGCTTGTCACAGTTTTTGGTATATTGCGAACAGTTCACTTTCAAAAAATTTTCGATCGACGCAAACAGGAAGTATCATTTCGTCGTAAATCTAAATTACGCAAGAATGAAAATTCTGGTTATTACCACGGACCGTCGTGTTGTGTCACGTGTGTGCCACAATTCGCCAATTACAACGGCGCGCAGCGTGTCACACGTTCTCATTTGCGCCGTGCATCACTTGCTAATTGTGTTGCATCGATCATCTGACCGCTATGCGCATAGATAGCGTCTTGCATCTTTGATCTATGAAGCGCATAATTATTATCTTGATAAAAATTATGAAAATTCGAAATGCATATATTTTAATATATTGTTCAGGTCACTATCTTTGCATTTGAATTTTCTTCCAGTTTTGCTGGAAGAAAATTCAAAGACTAATTACATAAATAATAAAAAAATAAATTATTTTTGAAATTTATGAATAGCAAATATAATAAGATTTGAACGCATTATATTTTCTTCCTCAAAAAGATTAAGATTGCAAGAAAAATATAAAGAATGAAAGAACCACAATATATAGAAAAACGTAGTATCTCTTTTATTTAAAAGTAGTTCTTGTTTAAATTGCATTTCACAAGTTATAGATTCACTTTTTTCGTTCATGCATCAAAATTTCCAATTCGGAAAGCAGAAAAATAAAAATCACGATGGTCCATAGAAACAATAAAAATCCGATCCGTTGGCGAAACGACAAGTCCGCAGAAAGAAAGACAGCAAAGAGTGAGCTTATCTCCTGGCAACGCAAAGAGGCCATTTAAAAGGCACGAGGCATGACGAATTACGCATTCTGTCGCCGTAATGAACGGCCGTCGATTTGGGAACGCGTTTACCCCTTCATCATCATCTTCCTCCTCTTCTGCTTTCTACCGCGGCAAGACTTCTCTGCTGGCTTCCTCGTTATTCTTTTTTTCGCGCCTTGGCATGTATGTACGCGCGGATTACATCAGGCGTGTCTGGAAAGGAAAATGACGTCATGGTCCTTTCTGGCCGACCAAAGAGAAGTACGACCGCATGCACCGGTACGATCTCTCGCACTGTCAAGCCGCAGCCACGATGGTCGCCACTGTCGAGTTGATTTACGAGTCCTCGCGAATTCCCGTTTACAGAAACAAAAAAAAAGAAGAAAGCATCGTCCTCTTTCTCCCCTCTTCCCCAGCATCTTTGGATTTATCGAACCTCCCGAGATTTTTAATGCCTTTACGTAGATATATACCGCGATCTACTTCTCGTCTTTAAGCCACTTTGTCGCAAGACGAGGACACTGATGGACTCGGGGATTAAAGGGAATCCCCGTAGGTTTAAGGAGATTGCAGTCCGAGATCGTACGTGCGATCGGGGAATTTCGGTAGAGAGTTTCTCTGGGATGAGCTCGAGTAACGTGATTGTATCTTTACTCCAAACTCTCTCGGCGAGGGAGGACGAAGGAAGATAAAATTATATCATAAGGATAACTATAAAAAAAAAGACGAGCTGGCAGAGCATATAAAAATGCCTTTTACAGACTTCTTTTACAAATTTTTTAGAAAGTTAAAAGTCTATTTTCTTGGCAAAATTTTATCTGTTCTTATATCTGTTTAAATATTAAGATTTTATTAGAATATTTCCTATGATAAAATCTAGTTAAAATTAAATAAGATTTAAAGTTTTTTTCTATAATATTAGAAATCAATTAGTTTCCCATTATTCGAAATTCAAAA